CTATAATGAGCTCCATATCCCTGTAGGCAGTAACTCCCCAGTGTGTCTGTAAGGTGAACCATGGAGCTGCTCCTGTGACTGACCTCGATGGGCTTCACCCCCAGACAGCTCTGTTGGCTCTGATTTGGTTATTAGGGTTCAACTCATGGTGACTGATCCTCTGTGCTCCTTTGTGGTTCTGCTGGTGAGCCTGTTATCACATAACCTGACACTTGCCACCTGGTGTTAAGGCTCCTGGAAGTTTATGTGGCTTCTAGGAGAGACTGACTGGGGTAGGGAAATGAAAATGTTTTGGTTATTGTAAGCTATGCAGCCCTTTGGGCTAACCCAGCACAGCTCATTGATACTCACCCAGCACTGGAACAAAGCTTATGGGTTTAAGTGCTAGTGTTAAGTTCTTTTGTGTTGAATGTCATCAAAATCACTTCCTTCATCTACAAAAAGCAGCCACCCATCTTTATTGTGTTGGTCACAACCTAGTAAACACTTGCTTTGTATCATCTTTATTAGAAACTGTTGACACTAGATAATTGTGGTAGAAAAATTACCTGATTTCAGGACAGATTGTAGTTCTTCATGTAATACCTAGTGATTGAAGCTGGTGCCTTTGATCCCATGACCTGTGAGTGCATTTTATGTCTACTCTTACACAATTTCACACAGTTATTGACCTTTTTCCACTTTTCAATGAATATCTAACAGGAGGTGTTGCAGTCTGTTTGTTTGAAATAGGTACTCCTTGTTGCTAAAGAGGGTAATAAGTAAGTCACAGCTGTCAGAATGATTTGATAGAGTATATTTTGGGTATCTTATTGCTGCTTCTCTGTATCAGTTGTCTTGTATTTCAGAGTCCTGTTTGCAAACTTGTCAGTGTGATTGTACTTTAAAAATGTTTTAGTTCCACATGGCAAGATTTTTTCAAAGGACTTTTGCGTGAAGAAAAACTCATTACAGTTTTTTTGTCATCCCTTCCAGATGAAAGTGTTCCTTCATGGTCTGTTAGAATCTGTTCCCTAACTCTAGTTATGATCTCTGTGTTTTGAGATCTGAACTGCTGAGCTCTCTCTGCCCAAACAGCTCTTGCTGTGATGTCTTTTTCCTACAAGGTTTTCTGAAAGTGTCTTTTCATTACCTTTGCTTGACTCTGCAGTGCCTTCCATTCAAAAATGTTTTCAAACTGCACCTTTGGTTATACTCTACTTTCTCATAATTAATTTTGTGAGGATGGTGTTTAATCTGGGGAACAAACTCCAGTGTATCTTTATGTAGGATAAGACCAGAAACAAAAGGAGGTTCCAAATTCTGTGCAAATCAAGAGATGCCACTCTTGGAACTGACATTTTTGACTGCTTTTGAGGCATGTAGGTGTGAGAGTTACCTTATTGCTTCCTGATGTGCTGGAATTGCACCTCTTCTTGGGCCTGTACTTCAGGGCTTTCTTGGTCCTGTTTTTGTGCCTAGACCCAGCCAAGAGAAATATCATTCTCATGCATCTCCTGTGTTTTCCACCATTTGGCACTTTCAGGCTACAGCACAGGACTAGGCTGCTCAGAAGGAGTTGTGGTGTTTGTTTTATATAGAAACATCTTTGGAAAGAGAAGCATTGGTGTCATCTCTATTTATATAACACAGAGCACAAGCTTAAGAGGGCAGTGTTGATAGGTTTTGGGGTTTTATTATGGTGGGGTTTTTTTTCTACTAAGCAGCTGAGACTAGATATGGCACTTGGTGCCATGGTCTAGTGACCATGGTAGGGTTGGACTTGATGATCTTGGAGGCCTTTTCCAACCTGGTTGATTCTATGATTCTGTCAAATTGCACTATGTATTCTGGTCTGTTACAATTGTTACTTACCTGTAACCATCAGAATATTGTCTGTTTTTCTTTTGGTCTGTCTTTCAACTTCTTTTGAACCTGTCTTGATGGGAATAGTTCATTCAGAAGAGAATTAGTTGATAACATGGTGTTTAAAGTACTTGTCTGATGGAAGGAAACATGGAATTTTGTCTGCTTCAGACACAACCTGTTGTTCAGCGTGAAGAGAAGGCTCTGGGGGAGACCTTGCTGTGGCCTTTCAATATAGAAAGGAGCTTATGAGAAGGGCAGAGAGAGACTTTTTACCAGGGCCTGTAGTGACAGGACAAGATGCAACAGTTTTAAACTCAGAGTCTAGATTGAGACTGGACATGAAAAAATTTGTTATGAGGGTGCTGAGGCACTGGCACAGTTGTCTGGAGGAGCTGTGGCTGCTCCATCCCTGGAAGTGTTCAGGACCAGGTTGGATGGAGCTCAGAGCAGCCTGGTCTAGTGTAAGGTGTCCCTGCCCATGGCTGCAGGGTTAGAACTTGGTGGTCTTTAAGGTCTCCTCCAACCCAAACCACCTTAAAACTAAGGTTTTAAGGACATGTGGCTTCTCACATACCTGAACCCTTTTGTTTAAATGAGAACAGCTTTAGGCTGTGTCCCCTGGAGTGGCTGCATTCAGCTCTGCAGCCTTCAGTGTCAAGGAGGATTTTGAGCTGCTCAGTTCCTGCTGGCCAGGAAACCTGTCTGTGCTCTGTCAGTTATGTGATTTCTATGTTGAATAAGATCAGTTTAGATTGCCTTATGTACAGCTCACTGTCTGGTTTGGGTTTCTCCATTGTGTTTTACTTGTTTGAAGTGCTAAGCTCTTAATTTTTTCTCTTGACCTTCCTCTTTCCCCAGGCAAAATTAGGACACCTGAGTGAAGTGTTGGAGTATCTTTTGGATGTAGATCTAAATCTCTGCTTCACTAGTCTGGAGTCTGAGCAAATCCCTCTGAAGGGAGGGCCTGTCTCACTGATAAAAATTGGTTGTGACTTTGATATTCACAGTTTTATTGCCATGTTTAACCAAAGGTTAGGACAATGAGATGTTATATATCTGGTAATCCAACTTTGCAATGCTCTTGGCAACTCTTTTATGTGAACAGTCTGACTTTTTGGGTTGGCATGACTCAATTATTCAGAAAATTGGATGGAGTTGAAATTAATGACAATCAAAAGGGATACAGTTACTTGAAAATGTTAATCCAGGGTATTGTGCAGGTGAAATGAGCTCCCACAAAGAGATTTAACTACTGCAGGTCCTGATGTTAAAATATACTAAGTGGATTGTGATGGAAACTTGCCAACTAAAACAGGAATAAGGAAAAAGGAAAAAAATTCTACACTGAAAATTATGAAATTCTTCTTAATGTGTCTTAGAATTCATTCCAGGTTTATGGGACTTACACTTATTTCTTAACAAAATGAGACGTAACTTACGGTGACTACTTGAATTATAATTGGTAGTCCTTCAAAATATCAGTGGTGATCCTAATAATGTGCCTTTGCAGGCAGAACAGGATGCCAGAATTAAAACTTCAGAGATCCCTTTGGGTTTCGTGATTATGTTCAACTGTATGCAAAATATCTCATTCGTGCTAGTTGGGAAGAAAAAAACCTCTTTTATTTTGCTTTGTGTAATAAAATGAAGTGAATAACCATTCCATGAGCAGGGATGACATCCCCCTTTACTACACTGAGTTAATAAATCAGGTTAAAAAACTTTAGGTTCTGTGTGTAAAGGATAACTCCACTTCTCCCAAGTAGGAGAAAGTGGTTGGTTTTCTGAGGATCTGAAGGATTTAAGAAGCACAGAAATGCTTTGGGATGGTGTAGGGTTTCCTGTGCAGGGTCAAGAGTTGGACCTGATGATCCTTGTGGGTCCTTTCCAACTCAGGATATTCTGTGATTCTCTGATTCTGTGAAATCTTACAAATTTGTTCAAGCCTGATGTTATAAAACATTATAAGAACTTATTTTGTTGGCTATATGTAAGGCTGAAAAAGAATAATTTTTGTTCCTCCTTTTAGGGGCACAAGAAGTTCTCATTGATCCAGGTACATTATTTTCATGCATGTTTCCAAAGTATTTTCTTTAATTATTTTGCATATGTTTTGCATTTGTATAGATAATTACTGCCACTGGTAATGATCTACTGTCACTAGTAGTGATCCCTGATGCTTCAGGTTTTTACTATAAGTCTTGAGGAATCAAAGAGACTGAAGGGTAACTGGCACAAAATTAATCATCTAGTCCTGTGATTGTGTCCCTGTAAATTCTAATCAAGATTTCTTGTCCCCACGAGTAGTGAGGGGTTTTAAATTTTCTTTAGCTGACAAACTTGAATGGTCACACTGAGCCCTGTAGTGTCAAGGTGTTTGTTCAGTCATCATGAACAGACATTCTTCACTTCATAAAGCCATTGTTAACCTGCAGATGGGCTTGGTGTGCTTCTTAAAGGTTGATGAACATATATAAAAAAGTTGCTTTTAGCATTTGAGCATGAAAAATAACCTATTTCTGAATATACAGAGGGAGCAGAAAGTATCTCAGTTTTTAATTCCATTGAGAGGTAGGCCCAGCTCTGAAACTGAGATTTTTTTTTTTTTTTGCCATCTCAGTAGAGAAACCTATTGGAGAAATAAAGTACTGTATAATCCTACAGATTAAGTAACACATAACAAGCTATTGAGCCTTGCCAAACCTCTGATGTATGTTTTCATTTTTATTATGTTAACTCTTCAATAAAATCCAATTCTAGAAGTAATATTTTCATGTTCTTTCTAATACCCAGATTTCCTTGGCTTCTGTTTCTCATTCTTATCCCTTATGCATGTAAACTGTCTCTCACTTTCTTTCTTATGTAAGAAAGCCTATTTCTTACTGTTTTGTCTGAGCCTTTTTTTCCTTAGGTGTGGTTTAGCAGCACAGTTTTATAGTACAACAAGGAATAATTAAAATTGCGTATTCAGTTGTGGCCATAGTCTAATTTTAGCAATCTGTAATTTTATTCATAGTCTAAGTGCAACAAATTATGAATATACTTTTTTATTACGTGAAAGATTATCTCCTGTTTGCTGGCTCATGATTGAACCCATTTTTCATGTGATTGAATCCATTTTCATGTGTACTTCTTGAAATACCATAGTAAACCAGAATTAGTGTTTCCAGGTAGGGCAATTATACTTTGTGTACTCTTTGTCAAACCTGCAGTATTTGCTAGGAGTCCTTGTGCTCATTTCTTATCCTGTTCTGTTCTAGGTGCACTGACCTCCAACGGTATAAATGCAGATACCAGTGCAGAGATAGGACGTGCCAAGAACTGTCTGAGTCCTGAAGACATCATAGATAAATACAAAGAGGCAATTTCTTACTATGGCAAGGTAATTCAGCTTGGAGGAGTAAGTTATGCTTGAATCACTTGTTCATTTCAAGTCTCTCTTGTTTGATACAGAAAGGATCTTTCCACTAACCTGTGTAAGTATGCATTTCCATGTCTGTGTTGAAGGGAAACTCTCCAACTGAGACAAGATAAATTGTGTGCATGAGTTAATACATGATCAGGAGCAATGATAGTTCTGGGGATAGTGTCAGATTAATTTGAATCCATCAATAAAACAATAACTCTCGAGGATGCATTCAGCTTTTTGTGTTATCTTAAGGGTATGTTGTTCATCTAGAAAGAGTCTGATTTCATTAGAAGTATAAAATTATTGGACTTCAGGCTCAGGGCAGGATATTTATATTTTGATTATAGTAACATACATTATGCTCTCAGCAGGTAATAACTGCTTCACTGCAGCTTCACTTGCAGGTACCAAAGGGCTTTGTCTTGGGACTGGTGTATAACTGTTCAAGACAAGCACAGTTACCTTCTGTCTGTTCCAGACCTACAGACACAGTAACTTCATGCTCTAATGCTGAGGAAGCAGCACTTTCTACTAGTATGTTATCACTGACCTGAAGAAACTTTTGTAGCATCTCCTAAAATGTTTTGCTTTTGCTGATATAACTGCACAAGAGAGGAATATGTTACTGCTTTGGTGGAGTAACCTTTGCATTTCATTCTGAGCATTTGTTGTGGTTCAACCCCAGGCAGCCACCAAACACCACAAAGCCACTTGCTCACTCCCCCACCAACAGGATGGAGGAGTGAATCAGGAGGGTAAAAGCTAGAAAAACTCATGGGCTGACATAAAGACAGTTTAATAGAGAAAGCAAAAGCTGCACATACAAGCAAAGCAAAACAAGGAATTAATTCACTGCTTCCCATGGGCAGGAGGTGTTCAGCATCTCCAGGAGAGCAGGGCCCATCATGTGTAACGGTTCCTTGGGAAGACAAACACCATCACTCCAGATGTTCCCCCTTCCTCCTTCTTCCTCCCACCTTATATCCTGAGCATGATGTCCTATGGTATGGAATATCCCTTTGGTCAGTTTGGGTCACCTGTCCCAGCTGTGTCTCCTCCCATTCTCCCATGCACCCTCAACTTCCTTGCCAGTGTGGCAGTGTGGGAAGCAGGAAAGGCCTTTGCTCTGTGTGAGCTCTGCTCAGCAATAACAGAACCATCTCTGCATTATCACCTCTGTGTTCAGCACAAATCCTAAGCATAGCCCCATATTAGCCACTGTGAAGAAAGTTAACTCTACTTCAGCCCAAACCAGCACAGCATCCTTTACCCATTAGTTTTCAAACAGGAGATGGGCTGACTCAAATAGCCACTATCAGTCCAGTCTGAGGAAAGAACTATACCAGACTGTTTGGCTAGAAAATTGCCTGTTTGCTGTCTGAGCACAAACAGATCAATGCACATCTGCATTGTCTCCTGCCTTCCTTAAGCCAGCTAAATAAACAGTCATGTACAGAAAAGGTTTTGTAAACAGGTACTAGAACACTCAGAATGGTTTGTAATTCTCTTGTCATCAGCAAATCTCTTTTAACTAAAGAGAAAATTGATGCAGCAATAAAAATATCTTTGCTTACATACTTATTGCACCATGGAGGTAGAATTTATGTACAGACACACCACCCACACCCATCATATATATGAGTTTACCCACAGTGGAACTAATATTCCAACTTTTCTCCTCATCTGAACTCTCGGAATGAAGCTTTGCTGTGTCTCAAAGTAAGAGAAGTGAGTGAAGAGGCTGAAAACAGTTGTTTTGCATAGTAACATTTTAGATGACACCTTAATTTTCACTTGGGCATGTGTTGGTAATTTAACAGTATAGTCATTAGGGAGTTGCTGGATTTGGAAAATGTGACAGCTGATCTGTGTGTTGAGCAGACATATTTATGAAATCTAACAGGTGCAATGCTTCAATATTATTTTCATTTTCTCCTTCCTCAAGTACAAGAATGCTGGTGTGATTGAACTGGAAGCTTGTGTGAAGGCAGTGAGAGTCCTTGCAATACAGAAGAGGAGCATGGAAGCATCTGAGTTTCTGCAAAATGCAGTTTACATCAACCTTCGTCAGGTTGGTGCACACAGTCCAGTTATTTTTCTCTTCTCATTTGACAGAATGTACTGACAATTCCTTAGGTTTAGGAGATTCCAGTTTATTTTCTGTATCATAGAATTTAGAGGCTGGAATGGACCTGATAGATCATCTAGTCCCCAGCCCCCTGCCATGGGCAGGGACACCTCCCACCAGACCAAGTTGCTCAAGGCTCATCCAGCCTGGCCTTGAACACCACCAGGGCTGGGGCAGCCACCACAGCCCTGGGCAACCTGTGCCAGTGTCTCACCACCCTCACAGGAAATCACTACCTTCCTTCTCACTAGGACTTGTCTTCTGAGCGTTTTCACATCTCTGAGTCTGGTTTAAAAGGTATTCAGAGTTCATCTGAAATCATGAGGACTTAGTTTGAGATTAAAGGCTCTGTTGTTTTTTCTCCCTTGTGAAAGACAAAAAAAGATCCCATTGTTGTTCTCTTGTGATGTTGTACTAGGGAAAAACTGCTCCTTGGGACTGATCTGCAATGGATATTTTTGATCAGCTTGATTGCATCTCATCCAACCAAACTGTGAGCAAATCAGCAGTGGCCTGTTGCATAGTGAGCTGATGAATCTGACTAGTGTTGTTAATCCATTGAATTTTTGTTGTGTGGTGAAAAGTCTTAATTAAGACAAAGCAGAGAGGAATTCCGGGGAGGAAAATCAATATTTGGAACTGTGGGAAAAATCACAGAACCATTCAGGTTGGAGAAGACCTGTGAGATCATTGAGTCCAATCTATGACCTGACACCACCATGTCAACTAGACCATGGCACCAAGTGCCACATCCAATCTCTTCTCAGCACCTCTGGGGATGGTGATTCCACCCCCTCCCAGGGCAGTGCATTCCAATGCCTAAGTACTCAGCAACACACAGAACAAGACTGTGTCTTGTCAGTGTCTCCAGCCTGGTGTCACTGATTACAGAGACACTGCTGTGGTTGAAAGAACTAATAAAAAGCTGTTAGATTTCTCACTGGTGTTTGGTTTTTATCCTTGCATCTCAGTAGGAAGAGCAGTTTAAGTCCACGCCATTGAGTTTATTAAGCCAGATGGGGACAGCAAATTTATGAGGGAGGAAGAGCACTTTCTTTCATTTGCACAGAATCCTTTCTTTGAAGTCAATTTTCTAACTCAACATAAATGAGAAAATAATTAATTGATAAGCTATCATAAAAATCATCAATTTGGTTACAGAGTACGTTAACTGCCATAATCCTTAGAGTGCTGAGGGCCTTCTGTGTAATTCTGTCATCTGTCTTCTGCTGGCAGCTCTGCAGCCTTTCCTGTAAGCTGCTGTGGAAGTATTTTTCTCTGTTTTGGTGCTGTTATTCTTGTGGCCTTCAAACTCCAATATTGTTTTTCTTCTGGGAGCAATTACTGCCACTGTGAGAATCCTTGTTCTCCTCCCTGGCACCTCTGATGTTGCACCTTTCACTTTATATTAGAGGACAAGACCTAGTGAATGGCAAAGTATGTAAGTCATTTCAATAGCTGATAACCATTGCCTAATAATACACAAGCACAAAGCTTGCAGCATACAACATGTACCCTGATCAAAGCTTACCAGTAAAGCCTCAACCAGTACAAACTTCTAAACCAGTGCAGGCTGGGACCTCTGTGTGACTGGGGAGCAGTTTGGCTTTATTGTGAGAACTATGAGTAAGATAATCTTTCCAGGGCTGGGGAATGTATTTTGCATAAAGAGAGGTATGGATGGGAGTTGTGTTTACAGCTGTTCAGGATTTACTGTATATGGCATGGGAGCAAATAATAGTTGTATTTATAATTTGGATGAACTCAAAGGAGGAATCATCCTGTTACAGCTGAGGGAAACAATCTGTAGGATTGTCCTTCACTTGCAGGTGAATAGAACATCAGCACAATCAATATTCAACAGCAGAAAAAAGGTTACCATTTAAGACTCATAAACACAAAAACTAGTTCCTATTCATATATTCAAGCTTATACTCAATCTAGTAATATGATGTAATTGGTATTTTCTGAGGAGCTGCAGGGTAATAAGACTTAACTTCACATCCAGTACTGAGGAATAAATTGTTAAATCTAATTACAAAGAGAGTGAGATTATCAAAATTTAATGTAGTGAGGAATAATTAAAAAAAACAAATAAAAAGCTGCCTTCTTGCAGGCCTGGCTTGAAAGGAGTCTGTGAAAAAAACAGCTCCGTTGCCTGGGGAGTGAACCTGTTGTGGTTTAACCCCAGCCAGGAACCCAGAACCACACAGCTGCCTGCTCACTCCCCCACCAAAAGGCTGGGGGAGAGAATTGGAAGGGTTAAAGCTAGAAAGGTCATGGGTTAAGGTAAAGACAGTTTAATGGAGAAAGCAAAAGTTGCACACACAATCAAAGCAAAACAAGGAGTTAATTCACTGCTTCCCTTGGGCAGGAGGTGTTCAGCATCTCCAGGAGAGCAGGGACCATCACACATAATGGTTCCTTGGGAAGACAAACACCATCACTCCAGATGTCCCTCCTTCCTCTCCACCTCTGTGTGGCCTTTTCTATTTATTTCTCCCCCGCCCCTTTTCTTCTTTTAAATTCCTGGGTTTGTGCTGAGGGAAGATGCAATTTTGCTGTCTTTTTGGTGATTAAAAAACAGTTTCCTGCTACTGCAGAAAATATTTGACTAACTTCAGGGACAACCAGTAAGCAACAAGTTGGGTAACAGTGCTAAAAGCTTACTCAGATATGATGAAAATGAAACTTTCTGAGAATCTGTTGGCTCTCTGATAGCTGTTCTAATGATTAGTGAGTGCTCCTGTCTATGTCAGTAGCATGACCCTGTCTTCTCATCTCAAAGAATTTAGTTTCCATAGGTTTGTGAACATTGACAGTATTTGGATTTGAGGAACAGCTTTTGAGAATGTTTTTTAATTTTTTTTTTAAAAACTATGGTGCATGATTACGTGCTCATGTTCTTTTCAACTCTGCTGCCTTATTTTTTTATTGTTCTGGCTTTTTAAAAATGGCATAAATGGGAAAAAAGGGGGGAAAAAAGGTGGAACAGCTTGTTTCTGCTGGAGTAGGTAACTTTAATCTGACACCTGATGTCCTTTCTGAATGAAAGCTTTTGGGGACTCTGATAAACTCCTTTAGAATTGTTCTGTATTTTCTTTTTGTGCCTCGTGTTCTTTGCAGCTGCTTTGATTCCTGAAAGTTTTCACCTTAGTGCAGTTTCCTTTGTACAACTCTTGGTACAGGGATGGGCAGTGTTTCTGTATCAGGCTTTGGTTTATGGTGTCAGTTCTCAGAGAAATAACAGCTCCAGCTTCAAAAATTGTCTGAAACTTTGTAAAATGATTAGCTAGTCTGTGTGTCTCTTCATATCCTGAAGAATGAAGATTTGAGCTATCAGATAAGGTCATGGTGCCTTCGGCAAACTCAGATCTCTTGGATTGCTGTGTCCAAAATTAGAAGAGGCTTTTAAAAACAGACTATTTTTGTAATTATATCAGGATTTAAATGACTAAAAGGTGTCTTGAGGCTTCACTTAAGACCTGATTATTTCTATAAAACTTAACCAGTTTGCTTAGCATCTTCAAGGCTTTAACTTTCTGCACTTAAACGCACCGATCCACTAATTGATACCTTCAGTTTTGAAGAATGAGTTGCAGAAATGCTGTTTCTGCCCTTTCGTGCTATTTTTGGATGAGGTTTGTCATTTGAAACGCCTTTGCAAAACGTGTTAGCAGCTTTAGAGTAATTTAAAATCTGTTCTAGTTGCTTTCGGTTGTGCCTGGCAGATCCTGTGCACTAGGTGTCAGCGTTGGTCTGTGTCTCTGGATCCTGGGACACAGACTTGGGAGGAGTCAGCTGCTTCCAAAGTTTCTGTGGCAGTTTATTCGTAGCTGTCTGATTCCAAAACAAGTTTGTAATTCAGATCGGAGGGGAAAGGAATGAAAACTTGGGACTTGTGCCACTATATTGATAAGCTAAAGAAGCACATGGTGGTAGGTTCTTACCAAATTTGTTTCAACTTTAAGCCTACTGGGGCTTTAACTAAATTCCACCTCAATAGTTGGCATTTTCTGCGTATGTATTATGGAATCATTAGGCTGGAAATGACTTCTAAGATCATCAAGTCCAACCATTAACTCAGCACTGCTAAGACCACCCCTGAAGCTTGTCCCTAAGCACCACACCTACATGTCTCTTACATCCCCTCAGGAATGGTGACTCCTCTGCTTCCCTGGGCTGCTTATTTGTTCCAATACCTGACTGAGCAAAGAAATCTGGGGCTGTGTCTTCTTGTGATGTTTTCCTACTTCAACATCATTTTTTACAGTTGTTGGCAAAAGCTCATATCAAACTCATTATTGCTCTCTGAGACTTGCATCATGCAAGGCACTCATGAGGCACTGGCACAGGTTGTCCAAAAGCTGTGGCTGCCCCATCCCTGGAAGTGTTCAAGGCCAAGGTGGATGGATCTTGGAGCAACCTGGTCTAGTGGGAGGTGTCCCTGCCCAAGGCAGAGTGTGGAACTGGGTGAGCTTTAAGGTCTCTTCCAACCTAAACCATTCTGTGATGCTATGATTCAATCTCACAGTGTATAAATCACAGTAGAGGATCAGGAATGAAAAATTCGTGCTTTACAAGATTAGAAACATAAAAGTTGAGACAGTAGTTTCTTGCTTTCACAGCCTGAGATCTCAAGATTAGATTTAATCTTCGAGGGATGAAAATCTTTATCTTACTAAATCGCTAAATTTTGGAAGTGTTAAATTTTTGTTCTTTTTATGTACATGAATATCATGTTGAATATCATGCTGAATATCTTCCATACCATGTGGAGCTCTTTAGCTGTTGTTGACTGTTTTGACTGTTTACTCGTTAGTAGCACTGACAAATAAAGTAGCTGCACAACTCCATATTTGCTGGTTTTGTTAGCTGTTGAACCAAGTTCTGCTGGCAGTAGGATCTGTCATGTGTGGCTATGTGTAAAATCCAAGGCCTTCTGTAGTGCTGGAGTTCTCTACTACGTTACCCCCCACCACCCTGTTAGTTTTTAAAAACTCAGACACACTTTAAAGTGTAGATTCTAACCAATCCTTCTCCCTTTTCCCTGGAAATGTCAGCTTTCAGAGGAGGAGAAGATCCAGCGGTACAGCATTCTCTCGGAGCTCTACGAGCGCATCGGCTTTCACCGAAAATCCGCGTTCTTCAAGCGCATAGCGGCGATGCAGTGTGCTGCCCCCAGCATCCCCGAGCCAGGCTGGAGGGCCTGCTACAAACTGCTGCTGGAAACTCTCCCTGGCTACAGCCTGTCCTTGGATCCTAACGATTTCAGCAAGGGTAAGTGGCTGGATTACCCTAGGAGGTCACTCAGCTGCCTTTCTGCTACTGATTTCCTTGAGAGTTTTCATACTGTGATACTGAGAGTAGACTGAAAACAGAAATTGAACAGTTAAAGCTGAAAGCATAAAGAATAACTTTACTAATAGCACTATTTCAGCTTAATTAGCAAAATAGCAAGGATTGCATAGTACAGACAAGAAACTTCACTAATGGTATTGTTTTGGCTTGGTTGGCAAAAGGATGCACCTTGTCTATAAGACAGTAGAACTAACTAGACTCAAACCTTGGCAGTAGGGGGAAAACTTAGACCATATAAGGTGTGGAATGAAGAAACAAAATGTCCAAGATAGAGACAAGGTCAGCAAGACATGCAAAACTGTCCAAAGGGGTAAACAGTTCCATAATAAGAGTGTCCAAAGGGTACTGAGGAAGAGGAGACACTTCATCTTCACGACCACTGAACAACCACCAGGACCATGGGACTGATGCCGAGAGGGAGGAGATCGAGGAGTATATGATAATGATTTCCAAGAACTAATTATAATAATAATCACCCATTCCTGGAAATAATGAATATGTATAAGCATCTAGTGTATATAAACTGAGAAGTTTTTGTCCTTGGTTGCACAAGTTTGGTGGAGCGATCCCCCTTGTGCCCAGTGCAGAATAAACAAATCCCTGCTACTCAGAGACACAAGTCTGGGAGAAGTTCTTTCCCAGCCTTTTCTTGGCATCAGTTGAACCAAAATTATTCACTAGTCTGAAGTTGTTTGTGGCAAACAGAGCACTTTACCACTGTGTACCTTCACTTTCTCTTAGTGTTGTTTCAGTAATTTCAGATTTTTGTGAGCCTCTACTGAATGTGTTGCTCTGTTTGCAGCAAGTAATTATGTTTTATTTATGAAAGCTTCATTTCTGCTGTTGTTCAGAAATGTCTGGTTTGATGATACACTTCTTGGTACAAAAAAAACCCTCATATTTTATTTTTGAATATTTTTTCAATTTAAGTGCATTCAACCTTTGTACCAGAAATTGTATTTCTTTTGATATTTGTTGCTGTTTGATCTGATAATGAAAGAATAGAGGAACTTACATATTTTTGTATACAAACACATACACATTATGTCATTATATCTGTATCTGTAGGGTAACATTTGTCACATTTTCCTACAAATTAGGGTCAGATAATATGCTGCTTGGGAAGTCCTTTTGAGTAAAGGTAGAACATGTGACCCACAAGTGCATTCTGTTACACAGCAGCATTTTTGGGACCATTCCCTACATGGGATATTGAAGTGCTGGAGCAGGTGCAGAGAAGAGCAACGAGGCTGGTGAAGGGACTGGAGCACAAGTGCCATGAGGAGAGGCTGAGGGAGCTGGGGGTGTTGAGCCTGGAGAAGAGGAGGCTCAGGGGAGACCTTCTCACCCTCTGCAACTCCCTGACAGGAGGTTGGAGTCAGGTGGGGTTTGGTCTCTTCTCCCAGGCAACCAGCAGCAGGACAAGAGGACACAGACTCAAGCTCTGCCAGGGGAGGGTTAGGTTGGAGATTAGGAAGAGATTTTTTACAGAGAGAGTGATCAGACATTGGAATGTGCTGCCCAGGGAGGTGGTGGATTCACCATCCCTGGAGGTTTTCAGGATGAGACTGGATGTGGCACTTAGTGCCATGGGCTAGTGACCACAGTAGGGTTGGACTTGATGATCTTGGAGGTCTTTTCCAACCTGGTTGATTCTGTGATTCTGTGTTGTAGCTTCAGGAGAGGAGCAGCAAGCAATGGGCTGAGCTGGGTTTGTAGATGGTTAGTGCTGGGTTTTTTTTTAAACTGGTGTGATTTAGCAGTTACTGCAAGAAATTACATGTGAGAGGAGGCAGAAAATGCCAAGCGGATTAGATGGAAAGATACATACAGACTATGATGAAGGAATAGACTGGAAAAAATGCACTGTGGCCTGGGATGAGGCTGTGTTGGGGAAAAAAGGCTGTCGCAGTTCTGCAAGAATTGACAATTAAAGAGGCAAAAAAAAGACACTTGGTGTTTATCTTACATTTTTTCCCTTACCTTTGTGTTGTGTTCTTTGTCTGATTTTACCCCTAAAATGACTCTTGCAGAGACATATGGAAAGATCACTGTAAGCTTGAAGAGCTACTTGATAAAAACGACATTTCACACATGAGAAATAATGAGACTCTTGTGTGCAAAATATAAACTCTCAAGGTTTGGCTGCAGTAAATATTCCTAGAACAGTTTGCCAAATGCTGAAGGGTGATATTAGAAGGAAGGCTGTCGAGAAGTTCCTGAAGTACTGCACATCTTAGAATATCTGTTATTTAAAAGTTATTGCTGTTGCTTACTGCTAAAAGCAGGTTCAGTTTCGTGGAGAGCTGCATATTACAGTTTTGAAAGAGAAGTTAAGTTGTGATGATCTATTTATTGTTTCCATAGATACTTTGCAAATATGAAATAGTTTATAGTCTGAAACTTAGTTTCTAAAGGCTGAAAATCAGGATACGTGCCTCATGTCCTAAAGTTGTGTTGCTTTTTACTGAATTTTATTGCCCTTGAAAGCATTTAGAGAAAATATCTCTTGCTTGATCTTTAAAGAGAGGTAAGAATTACTTGAATTTCTTTTTGATATTTTTGTTGAATGGTGTAGGTAGTGACAAGACAATGGGGAATGGCTTCTAACTGACAGGGAGTAGGTTTAGATTAGATACTAGGAAGAAATTCTTCCCTGTGAGGGTGATGAGGCCCTGGCACAGGTTGTCCGGAGCAGTTGTACCTGCCTCATCCCTGAAAGTGTTCAAGACCAGGTTGGATGTAGCTTTGAGCAACCTGGTCTAGTGGAAGTTGTCCCTGCCCATGGCAGGGGGGGGAATGAGATAGACTTTTAGGTCCCTTCCAACCCAAACCATTCTGTGAGTCTATGATTTCAATAAAAATTAAGTTTCTCTATGAAAAGTCATGTGAATTTGTTGTCCAGAGAATGAAAAAGATACAACTCTAAAGGTTTTATGTATCTTGGTTTTGCTTCATGGGAAGCATTAACTTCATTTTCTGAATTTTAGTGATACATTTATTAGACAGGCTTATAAAGCAAACATTGATTTCACATTTAGATATTCAAGCAAACTCAAACACTACAACTTTTGTTTTGAGTACAAGATTTAGATTTTGTAATTTCGTAGAATCATTGAGTCAACCAGGTTGGAAAAGACCTCCAAGATCATCAAGTCCAACCCTACCATGGTTACTAGACCATGGCACTAAGTGCCACATCCAGTCTCACCTTGAAAACTTCCAAGGATGGTGAATCCACCACCTCCCTGGGCAGCACATTCCAATGCCTGATCACTCTCTCTGTAAAAAATCTCTTCCTAATATCCAGCCTAACCCTCCCCTGGCAGAGCTTGAGTCTGTGCCCTCTTGTCCTGCTGCTGGTTGCCTGGGAGAAGAGACCAACCCCCACCTGACTCCAACCTCCTGTCAGGGAGTTGCAGAGGGTGAGAAGGTCTCCCCTGAGCCTCCTCTTCTCCAGGCTGAACACCCCCAGCTCCCTCAGCCTCTCCTCATTTCTGCTTCCATTGGGTGATTTTGATAAGTGTCATAAAATCACTGCTTAGTATGTTAATGAGACCAAAAGCAATGGGTTTGTGATGACTTCTGCCTTCTTCCTTTCCAGGGACTCACAGAGGATGGGCTGCAGTGCAGATGCGTTTGCTCCATGAACTTGTCTATGCTTCCAGAAGGATGGGCAATCCTGCCCTGTGTGTCAGGCATCTGTCTTTCCTTCTCCAGACCATGCTGGATTTTCTTTCTGACCAAGGTATGACTTAAAAGAAGGAGATATTTGCACTTTCTTCTGTCCTAAAGGTGAATAATGTGACTTTGTTTTGAAATATACTTAGTTTGAGAAGTAATGGTGAGCACAGATGTTGGGGAGTTACGTCTGTGCCTCAGGTAGGTTGGTGGTGGTAATCAATTAACATGGGGGCTTGGAAGTAGATGATCTTTAAGGTCCCTTCCAATCCAAACCAGTCTGGAATTCAATCATGTATACACTGTTATTGAATTTTGCTGTTCTGACCTTGATGTGTGGTATTTGAAATAAAACTTTCTGTAATGTTTTCCATCTGTACATTTACTGCCTCAAGCCTAATATTTCCTCTCTAAACATTAAGAATATGATGAGAGGTGTTAAATTGCATGTGGATTAAAACAAAGCATTGGTTAAAAATGCCAGCAGCTTTCATAAGTGCTCTTAATGAAGACATTGTGAGGAGTTGGGGTTACAATGAAGATTCAGAAAAGACTCTGCAGTAGTTCATACCCAATCTACTAGGAGTGTTTTGACAAAACATTCACAGTGTGGATGCACAATTCATCCAAGGTAGTAGCCACAATCTATGTGTCTGTGTTTGAGAGATTGAACTTCTTTTTTGCAAGGACATGTAGTGACAGGACAGGGGAAAATGGCTTTATACTGACAGAGGGCAGGCTTAGATTGGATGTTCAGAAGACATTCTTCCCTGTGAGGGTGCTGAGGCACTGGGACAGGTTGTCCAGAGAAGCTGTGGCTGGTCCATCCCTGGAAGTGTTCAAGGCCAGATTGGATGGGGCTTGGAGCAACCTGACCTTGGAGAAGGTGTCCCTGCCCATGGGACATGTCCCTTCCAACCCAAACCATTCCATGCTTCTAACTTGCAGAAACTGAATGTGATGTACTTGGGTTAAGCTTTGTTTACCTGTCACAGTAGGCTCAAGGTTCTGTAACTTTCTGATGTTTCATTCAGTTTATATTTTTTTAATATAGCAGTAAATTTCAGTGGGATGTATTAAATTTGTCAGTGGATGACAATGGAATGAATGTGTCTGTGGGTGATTTTCAGAAACAGGAACAATAGGTGTGAGGACTGTTTTGTGGGGAAAGGGCCATTGGCATTTACAAAAATCACCTGGAAAAGCAAAAGTGACAATTGTTATGTTTGTGTTCTGTTTCTTAGGAAAAATGTTCAGACTGACTTGTTTATCACTCAGTTTAGTGAGACTAATGAGCTTAATGAGTGATGAAAGGTTTAAAACATTGGTTTTACTTCTCAGTAAGCTAAGTAAAAGGTGCATTTTTTGTAATTCCTATGCTTATGATAAAAAGGATGGGAGTGAAAAAGTGTAGGTTTTTTTTTTTCTTTTCTCTCCTCTCCCTTAGTTATGGCCAAACATCTCTCCTTGGTTACTCCTGCAGCAAAGAGCTTTGCTTGCAAGCTCGAGGTCTTTGCCTGCCTAATTCCCTCTGTTCAGTGGCTCAAATCAGTAATGGAGGAAAGAGGGGAACTGAGAAACTGGAATAAATACTCTTTTTGTCTATAGATCTTGTTGCTGTCAAAAGGTCCTTAGATTTTCCAGGACTTATAATTGAGCTCTGTTGATATATGTATGGAAAGTTTGGCTGACAACAAGGTTTTAATATCTTCCAGTCTGCATGTCCATGTACAATATGGCTAATCCCTAGTCCTAAAAACATCCAGAGAAGAGCAACGAGGCTGGTGAAGGGACTGGAGCACAAGTGCCATGAGGAGAGGCTGAGGGAGCTGGGGGTGTTGAGCCTGGAGAAGAGGAGGCTCAGGGGAGACCTTCTCCCCCTCTGCAACTCCCTGACAGGAGGTTGGAGTGAGGCGGGGGTTGGTCTCTTCTCCCAGGCAACCAGCAGCAGGACAAGAGGGCACAGACTCAAGCTCTGCCAGGGGAGGGTTAGGTTGGAGATTAGGAAGAGATTTTTTACAGAGAGAGTGATCAGACATTGGAATGTGGTGCCCAGGGAGGTGGTGGATTCGCCGTCCCAGGAGGTTTTCAAGCTGAGACTGGATGTGGCACTTAGTGCCAATGTATAGTGACCATGGTAGGGTTTGACTCAATGATCTTGGAGGTCTTTTCCAACCAGGTTATTTCTATGATTCTATGAACTTTTGTGTTTCTTGCCTTCAGACATTGTATGTCTGAGTAGAACTTTCAGTTTCATAAGACCTGTCATAACTTGGATGTTTAGTGTCTTCAGAAAATCAAACTAAATGTTCTCCAATGTGTTTGAAAAGTAGTTGAATCTTTTTTTTTCCTTCTCTCCTGAATACATCCAAAATAGAACTTGCTGTTGAGTTTGATGTCTTTTATTGATAGCCTGTTGCTCAACACGGTTACTGGTGTTCCAAATGAGCTAAAGTGTGGATGACAGTGCCAGAAATGTATTTCTGGCTTCTTTTTTTTTTTTTTTGTAATTCTTCTGAGATTGATATTATGCGATCATGGAAGTATTAAGGCAGTAAAAGACCTTCAAGATCATCAAGTCCAACCTGATGTTGTACAAGAGTTTGTTTAGCACAGAAAATTACTTTCAATTTATAGCTCTTTGTAAAGTATCAGAATATTAGGAAAAAATAAACCAACAGAGCTCCTTCAGTGTTGGACTGTAGTGAAGGACAAAAGGAAGGTGAATGCATAGGATTGTGTTACTTAGTATTTTACTTAGTGTGAATTGTTTCCCTTGTAATAGAAACTTTAAAAAAAGATGTTGTAATTAGTGTTCTTCTCTGATAATCACGTGGCTGAAACTTCCAGGTTTTCTTAACCAGGTAAAGGTTTAATTGGAATCATAGAATCATAGAATGTAGGGATTTGAATGGACCTTACAGATCATCACTTGTATTTAAAATTCAGGTATTTTGCAGATCATCTTTAAAAGCAGAACAAATAGAAGTAAAAACTAAGCCAAGAGGAGGTTACCAGGTAAACATTTGGCACTGGAACTTGATCTTCTAAGCTGTTATGTCTCAGGATTTGCTTCCTCTAGACACAGAAAAGGAATATTCTCTAGTTTATCTAATTCTGCTCATTTACTAGTTCAGTTGAAGTTGAGATACTGAGACTTCAGAAAACAGAA